TCGATTTCTCGTCCAAAATTACATGGAAATAGACTCATACCAGGCCACCATAGGTGAGTTTTCTATTTTCCATTACTAATGGTTTGGTATTGTGTCAACTTCTTCTTAGTTAGTTTTCAGTTGGCGCAAACCCTTTTTTTCAATTTTTTCAATTTTTTGAAAAATTTACATTGGGTGAACTCAAAAATGTAGGCCACTTACAGGCCTAAGATTTTGGTTTTCTCATTTTCTACCGAGAACAAGACTCCAAGCAAATTTTCAGCCAATTCGGAGGGGGTCGATCCAATTCTAGGTCGATTTCGTGTGGAATGGTGCATTTGGTGTGGTAATCGTTCGCAAAATTAAAAAAAAGAAGAAATAAACAATTTCTTCTGATTTTGTTTTGCGACAATTTACTACAAAATGTAAATAGTACGCCGGTTCATTTATAACTGATAATGCATTTAAGCTGTCAATTTTATGAGTGTATTTATAAAATAAATGAATATGTGGAACTGGATACAAAAGAGAGGGGAAGAAAAACGTAAGTCAGATATATGAAAAATAAATGAACGAACGATTGATTGCGAGAAGGACAAGGATAAATATTTGCGAACGTTTTAGTTTCATGTAGAGTAGAGAAGAATGTTGTGGAAAAATAAAACAAGAAATATCTAGATTAAGGAACGAGCAAAATAAAAATGTAGGGTGAAGTAGGTTAAAATGTGTTTATAGCAAAGTAAATCGTATTTCAAGTGTCTTCTAGTGACTTAAGCTAACATCATTGTGTTTTTTCTCCGTATTTTGATAATTTCATTGTTTGCATTTTTTTTACATATTATAATAATCAATGGCAACTTCAATTCTTGAGATTTTTGTTTTTGTTTTATTTTGATTTGCGATATTCTTATGCTTATGCTTTAAAAATTGAGTTATTTGGATGCTCAAAAAACAGAATTTTCTTTTTAAAACAATTGATGAAAGTGGAGGGTGGAGACAATTAATAAATGGTTAAACATCAATTTAAATGTATAATTGAGATTAATTTCATTTGTTTGTTTCCATTTTGTTTCTATATTTTAATTCGCTTCAAAACAGTCAACAGTTGGAATAAAATGAATGACAAATGATGGTTGCGGCTCTTGTTTGTGTTGGAATAAATGTTTAAAATGGATACTGTGAATTTTGACGATGTGTTTTTTTTTAATTTTCGCTGAGAAACGAAATAGGTTAGGTTGTGGATCAATTCGCAGCATGACTGCATCTCCATGTATTTAATCTAAAATGATGATAAACCAATAAAATTTCGTGTCCCTGATGCATGTAAACAGATCATGGAAAATTCCTTGAACTGAATAAAGTAATTCATAGAACATTTATGTCGATCAGCAATCATTATTCAAACATCATGTCTTCTTCTTTTTACGGTGAATATATTTCGACGTGCCCTCAATAATCTAATGTAATTTTGATGATGTACGGTAGAATATGTTATGTGTGCCTGACGCTTTATTTTCCTTTCATTCAAAATTTGACTGACGCCAAATCGTTGTGCAACCAAAATGGACCATACAACAATACAGTTGATGGTTACAAAATAGACAATGTATACTGCTTGGTAGAGGCTAACAAAAATCAATCCACGCTAAACCACTTTCGTTTTGTTAACTGAAAGAAAAATGTATTCGAAAGTGTGAATGAATAAGAGCAATGTGTTTTCAGTGAAAAGAACATCCGTAATATGTATGCAAACCTTGAAAATCTAACGATATGTTATGTTCGTCTCTCGTGGTAATTGCATGGTTTGCAATACCAATAGCATTTCTATGTTTTGATACCTAAGGTTTTGGTGCTGTTGCTGGTCAGGATGGCATGCGTGGTTGGTGTTTGTTGTTGAATTCAGATGCGACTCTCCGATTAGTTGTGCTTTGGCGCGCTCCTCATCCTTCTGTAATGAATAAAAAAAATTTACAAACAAAACCTCCTATTTAACAGTGCACTATTGTTAAAGCTCTTCTGACAAAACGTTTCAAATAAGTCCAAATTACAAAAAATTACGGGAAATATTCTAAAAATGAATACGGTGATCCTATTGAAATTCCAATCATTTTTCATGTCATGTTTAATACGAAACATACTTCAAATGGAATTCGATCACACAATTTTGAAGAATCGATTCGAGTTGATTTCGGAAACAGGAGCCAGAAAGTTCAATCACCATTCCGAACGTTCAATGGTTCTCCAAGCAAGAAAAAAGAGTTCAATTTTGGAATTCAACATTAAAGCCTCTCTTTTCCCAAAAATCCAATTGATCGAAACATTTTGTCAGTGGGGAAAATATTCATTCCTTCATTTACCTGTGTAAAGAATGTTTCCTTGAAGATACGAAATGATGTGTGTGTGTATATGTCTGTATGTGCACCCAACCGTCTCTTTACTATCCTATGACTCCGATTCGATGAATTTTGCAAGTGCAACATTCCGAAAATGGGTTTGTGTTTGAATTACATACTAGTTCGTCCATTGATACGTCCGTTCTCGTTGTGAATTTTTCGATTTTTCAATAAACCATCTCGAAATACTGTTTTTTCGTAATTTAGGTATGCATTTGATGCGTACCATTAATATATAAGCAATTGTTGACTATATTAGTTTTTGTTTTTTTGCAACAACCAAGTTTGAACAACCCATCAAGGCTTTTGAATCGCATGGATTACCCAAATGAATGAGAATGAATTAATTGGACTAAAAAAAGTGCATTGAATTTGCTCATCATTGAACGTCTAAATTCAAATATTTAATGAACACCTATGACTTTCTTCATCAAAAAAGTGGACAATTTTTCAACGAAAATTGCTTGTGAGAAATGAATGAAATAGTCGCGCTTATTCTATAAATTTTAAATACAGCAGTACACAAAGTCTTTTTTGTAGACCACGAATTGTAGCACAATATTTTGGTTCGCATCAATCATATTAAAAATGAAGAAAAATCATTCGGAATACATAAAATCACCTATTCCGTCTCCTATTTAATTCATTGTTTTCAGATATTTATTTACTAGAAAAAAAAATTATAGAGATATTATTTAAAATTGTTGCTTGAGATTTTTTTTTCGAAAACGATTTATGTTCTATGTTATTTTTCTTTTGCCTATGATAAGGACACACGTTTGCCGCAAGCATTAGCGCTTTTTGCATAAAAGGATATGGGTCTTGTCTTATCTTCTCATTTCTTTAACATGAAATATGTATGGATCTGAACCTATCATTCCACTTCGATAGTTGCCATTAATACCATAGCCTTGCAGCGATCGCCGTGGAAAAGGATTCAGTCGATGTGAGTTCTTGTTTTAATAATGTAATAGTTTTTATTTTCTCCGTTAATTTGTGTCTTTCGTTTTTCATTGGCGTTGAAATATACAAGTGAGTTAACATTATATTTCGCTTTTTGTTGAATTAGCATCAATTATCTAGTATATTTTTTGTATCTCAAGTGTGAGTGATGTTTTTTTTTTAAAATAGTTTAATCTACGATTCGTTCCATATAATCCATTTTGTTTAACATTTTAGTCGGCTACATTGCGACGTGCATCGTGAAATCTGTCACTGTATGAGATTTCATTTATTTGTTAGATTGTTGTTGATGATGTTTTTTTTTCATATGGCATTTTGGGGTTTGAATTGTAGTGTTTGTGTGTGTTGTATGTATATATGTATGTTTGTATATGATTTGTTTTTCTCGCTAACATGTTTTAATTATTTACTGCGCCTGCGGATCGCATTGCAATAATCGAACAATAGACGGATCACTTTTTGCGCCTTCGATGAACTCTTCCAAACTCAATTTACCATCCTTATTCCGATCCATTTGTCGGAATATTTTGTCTGTACGCTTTTCGGGTGTACTTTCATCTTCCGGCATTTTCATAACGGAACCAACCATTTTGTAAATAGCCTGTACACAAGAAAGAACGAAATTAAATTGGAGTTTTTTCAAATAAAATCGAGCGAGATTTTTTTTTTCGTTGCATTTTGGGTTGCATGCAGTTTCACACTTACAGTTACAATTTCTAGCATTTCTTGTCGCGAAATATAGCCGTTGCCATCTAAATCGTACATTGAAAAGGCCCATTTGAGTTTTTGTTCCAATTTACCTCTGGATGTGACACTGAGTGCGCACAGAAATTCTCGAAAATCGATGGTGCCATCGCCATTTGCATCGAATGTTCGAAAAACATGCTCTGCAAACTGAATACGAAACACGTGATTGAATAACGATTCAAGATTATGAAATCATCACTTGAACATTGAATTCACTTACTTTGCTGGCATCACCGTACGGAAAAAAGTTACCGTAAATCTTTTTAAACTCTTCCACAGACAGATGCCCGCTTGGACAGTCTTTCAGAAAGCCTTTATACCATTCTTGAATTTCAGCATCTGCAAAATTATTTTGTTGGAAACATGAATTTATAATTGCCTCGGAAAATCAACATTGAATATATGTATATGGTATGTGGGGAACGAAAATGTACCGGTGAATTCCGTGTTTTGCTTCAAATCCTCTAAGACTTCAGGCTTGAGTTTACTGTTTTGCTTTCCCATGGTGAGTCTGTTTGGCGACGAGTTCTAGGCAAAAGTTGAATAGTCAGAATCTATTATACTCCGTGAATCGCGTCTAAAAAATATCGTCGAGCTTTCTCGTTTTACTAGTAGATTAATTCCTTGAATTCAATTCAAATCGTTTGCTGCACTTTCGCTGTAATTCCTTGTGTACAGCGAAAAGAGGACAAAACTGTAATGTGGAAAAATTGAAATGAAATTTACTTTGATTTTGTACCAAATTAATTTGACAAATTAACAATAAGTGTATATAATTAAATCTTTTCTCAGTTTTTTTTATCGGAATTTGGTTGAATCATGGTTGTGCAGTGGGATAGATATAAATATATTGAGAATAAGTAAACTCGATGTTATTGTGTCAGCATCAAACTTTATTCTATTTTGTCTCCTCATTTCATAATTGCATATAGCGGGTGTCGCATGCGCAACGTGAGATGCGGTGAGCATGCGACTCCGTTGGAGAAATAATGAGTATGCAGCGTAATGCATAATCTACAGCGAGGAGGAAATCACTTAAAAGCAGGGATGGTAAAATACACGGTTTTCTGGGTCGTGTATGTAATCTACGTCGAAAACTAGTTTTCTACATATTCTACATGTAACAGATGTCGAAAACCCTTGTCCATGTCGAAAACTCATATACGCTTAAAATGTATATACATTCAGCGACATAATGCCTTTTTTCGCTGAATTAAGTACAAGCAATATACACATGTGCGCTATTGAGCTCCAATTCGTACACATACATTCAAATAACAAAAAGAAGAAAGAGCAAAGAAGTCATGCGAATATAGCATGCAGTCTTCGTTGTGTTGGTATTGTTCGGCGATCCGCGCTCGCTGTATAACACATACATAGGCAAAACACAATGAAATGAATATGACATGTGTATACATAGTGTCGCATGTGCATTAGGGTGTTTTCGGTATTAAATAAACAGAAAATGGTAGTTTTAG